ATGTTTTCCCATCATTTAAATTCTTAAATTAAGGAAAATTATTTTCTCCAACTGTAGGAGATAACTATCTCATGTCACATAAATATAAAAAGATGTGCGTGCAGTTTTATTTTTTAACTTATGGACTCCATATTTCTTATTAGTGTAGGAGAAAACTTCTCTCATATTAAATCATGATTTGTTTGAGTCTTTGGCGTTATATCTATTTTCCTATAGGGATGTAATATGAGGCAACTGTTGGGTATGACTCATACTTCGCATGTTGATGATGGCCCTAGTTGTCGGGGTCAGCAGAAAGACAACTGGGGTCCTCTTCCCAGGTGAGCGGGCGGGGGTCCGGGGGACAGCGCCCCCATGCCCCTAGAGGCTAGGTACTGTTGTGAGCCTCTATTTTATTGTAATTTTCTTAGCAGTTTGGGCTTGGGCCCATGAATAGCTGCTATTAGGGTTTTGTAATCCTATTTATATTTGCCTTGTGAACCGAGAGACTTGTAACGAGTGGCGATGAGGTGAATATAGTACAGACAAGCTGGACGTAGCCTATATTGGGTGAACCAGGGTAAATCGTTGTGTCAATCTCTCTACTCTTATCTCTTTTTCTATTTTCTCGATTCTATGTGATTGTCGATTTCCAACAGCAGCATTATAGATTAAAACATCAACAATGTAGTATGACAATCAAGGTTGATGAAAGACACAGTGGCTTTGAGGGTAAAATTCAGCAGAGTAATAGTAATGAAAAGAGACCCCTGGTATGAGTCATGTTGAGCTTGACTGATTTGCCCTATGAGCCCCACTTTGAGCAAGGCAAAGCACCCTCACCTGCATGTGAGGCGTGTATGAATGGAAGTGAAAGATATCATTACAAAGAACTAATTCAATCCAAAATTTTAAGGTATTTGGTGAAGATATTTTTAATGATTTATATTATTTTTTAACAAATTTTTTCATACAAGAGTCCTTTGAGTTCGAAGCATGGATATTGCATAGGCCCAATTTTATTTTATTTTGTTTACTTTATACGTAATTATTTAATTCCACAAGTGAGGGTCGATGAGAATCAAATTCGTGACTTCGTGGTACTGAAAATCTGATACATTTGTTCCACTTTAAGCATATAGGAGTTCTATCCCTAATATTGGGCCTAGTGTTGACCCAGAGTGTTGGGCCTAGTGGTCAATTTTTTATTAAATTGATTGATTACAGATATAAATAGCCTAGGTTAGATTAGGCTTTAGTTTAAATAGGTTAAATTTGTGTAAAAAATATTAGGTTTGACTTGGTCTGTTAACCTATGTAGGCCCTAAATTACAAGTCTGATATGACTTATATTTAGAAAATAAAAGCCTAGGCCTAGTCCTGTTAGTCTGTTTAAACCTATTAAACATTCAACAATTAAAAGAATAACTAAAATAGTATTATTTTATTATTCAAAATTATTAAAATCATAATTTTATTTATTTTATTTAAAATAAATAATATGATATAGGCCGGCCTATAGGCTTATATGCCCGACATGTACAAAAAAAAGCCTATGACCTGTTTTCTAAATAGATTTTTTTAAAAGTCTAAGGGTGTGCATGACAACCATTCTATTCCCGAGCACTCTTTCTGAAAAGAAACAATTCTTTTCTATTTCTGTGCCTTGGAACAATTTCTGAGAAAAAAAATGTGTTTGATAACATGTTCTATTTTTATTCCGAGAATGAGAATTGTGTTTAATAACACAACAAATAATATAATAAAAATAATTCTTATTAAATATAAAAAAAAATTGAATCAACTCTTTCCTTTCCATATGGTGTGGTTGTGGTGGTGGCGGCAGCGGTACGGTAGTGGTGGTGGCAGTGACGTGGTGAAGATAGTGGTGGTGGTGGTGGTGGTTGTGACGGCAGTGGCTGCAACGCTGGCGGTGATAATGGTGGCAGCGGCGGTGGTAGTGGTGGGGATGGTGGTGGTAGAGGTGACGGCAGTGGCAGCGACAATGATGGTGGGTATGGTGGTTGGTGGCGGAAACAATGGTAGCAGTGACATGGTGGTGGTGGTTGTGAAGGCATCAATGCATCATGGTGGTGGTGGCAGTGGCTGCGGCGGTGGTGGTAGGTGACAGTGGTGGTGGTGATGGTGGCGATGGCTTGGTGATGGTAGTGGTGGCGTTGGTGTAATGGTGGCAATGGTGGTGGTGGTTGGTGGCGGCGGCAACGATGGTGGTGGTGGTTGGTGGCGGCGGCAGCGATGGTGGTGGTGGTTGGTGGCGGCGACGGCAGCGATGATGGTGAAGATGGTAGTGGTTGCAGCAATGGTAGTGGTGGTTGGTGACAGTGGTGGTGATGGTAGTGGCGGCGTCGTGGTGGTTGTAGTGATGACGATGGGGGTGGTGGCACTGGCGTGTGATGGCGATGGTGGCGGTGACGGCAATGGTTGCGATGATGGTGGTGGTGGTTGATGGCGGTGATAGTGGTGGTGGCGACGGCGGCGATGGTAGTTGTGGTGGTGGTGGTGGTGGCATGGTGGTAGTGATGGGTAGAGGTGGTGGTAATGGTGGCGATGACATCGTGGTGGTGAGGGGTGGTGACGGCGGCACTAGTGGTACGATGGCGGCGACGACGATGGTGGTGACAGTCGTGTCGGGATGATGGTGATGGTGGTGATGATGGTAGAAGTGGAGAGTGATTGAGAGATAAGTGTTTCTCATTTTGAGCCCAGGAACAAAAAATCAGAAATTTTTTGATTCTTTTTTCTGTTCCCCAGCACAAAAATTAAACCGGTTCTTCCCGGGAACAAAAAAATAAACCGATTTTACCAAACGTGTTTCCTATCCATTTATGTTCCCGAGAACAAAAATTAAAAAAGAATTGATTCCGGGAAGGTTGTCATGCGCACCCTAAGTTTGTTCTATTTTACTATTTATAATAGACCAAATATATCTTAATATAGGCTAGGCCGGTGTAACCCATTTACACCTCTATATGTAAGTATTTGGGCTTGCAATTTTTCATGTTGCATGAGAAGTTAGAACTTTTCTATTGAGATAGAAAGAAGTAGGACCCACTATAAAAAAATATAAAAAATAAAAAAGTTGTTGATATGGATATTGAAATGAGGGTGGTATGAGAAGAGATTTCTCATTGAACATGAGAAATATTTTCCCTGAGTATTTTATTGAATTCATTTAGTGTGTTTTGATTCTAATTACAGAAACAAGGATTTTTCAAACATGTAATTCCAGATTTAATTAAGAAATTTGTACGTACGGAAAAAATATCATTGAGAGTGGTTGACACCTATTGGAATGGATCACATTTCGTGCGATTTGGGGAACTTTGGAATGCATCTATTTCACTCTATTTCTTTGTGAAAAGTGATACATTGATATTTTTATTTTTTAAAAAAAAACTTTACATATTTTATAAAACTAAATAATATTATCCTTTTTAAAAATATTTCGCAATAAATTATAACTATTAATTAACGAAAATCAACGAGTAGGATATAAAATGACATAAAGTTATATCCTTTAAAAGGACAAATATTTTTTCCCATAATATTTAACTTTTGTTCTTATCTCTTTCTTTCTTTTTTGTGGTAATATTTTCTTTTCTCTTTCTAATTATACAGGTGTGCTTAAATTGCAAAGAATATATATATATATACCAAAAAGAATTAAGAAGAATTTCTATTTAGATTTGTTATTAAAAAAAATCAATATTGTGCGTGTATCAAGGATATAATAATATGGAAAGAAAGAAATGTGCATATTTATAAAAATTATATTAATAATTTATCAATATTCTAATTTTTTTTTTCTGCGACTTTGATCTCTTGACCGATTTCATGTTTGTCTATCTGTTTTTTTCTTTCCTTCCGTATTTTATCCTCTTCCAGCTTTGCAAGTTGAGTATTAGTGCCAAATATGTTGAGGCCTGTCCCCAAGTTTTGAATTGGTTCAGTTGATTTTGCATTTCCAAGCATCATATTAATTACATTGTTGCTGCTTAGTCGAAGGAAGCTCATATTGTTTAGCCCCATTGTCATCACTCTCTGCACTTCACAAAACTTTATCCCTGTCGTTTTCTGCAAGTTTCTGGCACATCTTCTCATCGAAACTATAGACTTTTTTCACCAAAAGTTCTACGTACTATTTCTTAAAAAACCAATGCAGCATCCCCAGCTAATATTGTAGGTTCATTGGAGAGCCCCTCGAATATCATGGGTCATGCTCATGCATAGCGTCACATTGAAGTAGTGCGTCATTTGTCTGTTTTGGCCACGTGTACTAGTGACACAAGAAACAACCAGTTGCATGCGGATTTAAAAAAGGGTTGGAGTTGACCCCAAGTTGTAATGTTTATATGCCCGCATAGCACGTTGGTTTTTTGAGAATTTGGATTTCCTTTTGTTCTTAAATAGTAAAAGAGGTACCAAAAAAAATATTATATATTAAAAGAGGGTAACACTGTTGAGATATATAGTCCCACATTGATTGGATGGACAACTAATATGGCCTTTATAAGGCCTTGGACACTCCTACCCCCTTGAGCTAGCTTTTGGAGTGGTGTATCCCAAGGTTCTTAACAAACACAAATAATTTTGAATATAAGTATTCACACAATGGAAAAGCCAACACATAAAAGATAACGGTTTCTTGTTATTAACTTTTGATTACTCTCAATGCGTAATACTATATCTGCGTTACAAAGATTTCACTTTCCTTTATGGTCTTTTTCCACATTGGCTGCAGTAATTACAGACCCCCAATAACAATCTTAATTTGGTAAAAAAACATATTAACTGTCTAATATTTTTCATTTTATAAAATATTCAAAACAGTGAATTGTTAGATTTGAACCATGAATTTATTTTTTGAATTCTTAAAAGAAATTATCAACTTTTAATTCACATTTTATATTAAAAAAATTAAAATGTCGTAGAATATAAGACTCCTTGGATAGAAGGACAAGATTGGAAAAAAAAACCTTCCATTTCAAAATATTTCACAGCCTGATTTTGATTTCTAAAATCATTTTACTTCTAGCCCAAAATTGTTATATTATCAAGGCAACATGCAAATTTGAAGGCACCTAACCAAAAACTAAAAATAAAAAAAATCGAATCATTTAAAACAAATAAGTTACCCCGACGATCTCCATATCCTTCCCTCCAAAGAAACCACCATAACAGATACATCATCATGATATTTACGTCTATCTCCATGAGGAATTTCAAGCAATTCATGAAAATCCATTCCTGCAAAATAATAATAAATATGTATATTATTAAAACAAATATAAGAATGAGCAAGAATTTTCAAATATCTAATTTACCATCCATGCAGATTTATTATTTAAAAAAAAAAATTTGTTTTTGACACTAAATATCATGTGGCAAGATAGTATTCCCTCATGATTTCGTCACACTGATGACAACTGAATCCTCATTTCTTTAAAGAACCATGCATGCAAGGTAGAAAACCTTCCCACCCAAAGATCAGCAGAATATGTAATATATCGTCATGTTATTATGTGGGTTAAACTATGACAAGTAATAAAGCAGAGTGGACTTAGAAACACTGGACATCTATCCCATATAGGCTATAGCACCTTTCTCTTATGAAGGAGCATTAAAGAGTGAGTAACAATTCAAACGTATTGCTCTACCATCAACGTTGTAAGGCTCCTAAGGTAAAAGTAAAGGAACTCTATTAAGAAAGTTGTTTGGGTTTGAAGGGTTTGCTTAGAAGCTTGAATGGAAGCCAAGTTGAGAGCTTGCATGGAAATTATTCAGATGGGAGGTGTTCACTCTCAGATCACAGAACTGGAATATTAGGTTCATGACATATAACTGCCATAAGGACCATACTTATTCCTGTGCTTATCACCAAAGCCTGCCCACTCAAAACCAAACCCTGTATTTTTTTTTATCTTTTCGCAAAATGGCATGTATTTTCCATCTAACTTTATCATCAAAAGCCATTATAATATCAGAGGGACAAGAAACGTGAAACTGACCATTCTTTTTAGCAGCACGGAAGAGAAGCTCTGCAATAAGGTATTGTGCAGGATCACCTTCGGGGACATTTTCCATGAACCACATGACATGAGCAACTACCTCTTCATTGCTGAAATATTGGTAAAGCCCATCAGAGGAGAGTACCAAGAACCGATCACTTGAGGAAAGACGGTGATGAAGAACAGAAGAAGTGCAACTTAGGTAAGGAGTATTGCCCACATAGTCAACTCGAAACGTCTTCAGCAGAGGTTCATTAAAAGATGGCTAGATCATACAATTTAAATTAGAAAAGGTTCGAATAATTGCAAATTATATGGGGAGAAAATACATTAGGAGGTATTATTGATTCTTGTCATTATCAAAAGTTAGTAAACAACATAGTATGAAGAAATATGCTACACAAAGCTACCTATGGGCATATACATTTACTAAGGATCCAAGGTTTTCTCTTTATGCTTCCAGATCGAAGAAGGAAAGATACAGGCGGGAAATGGTCATCCATTTTAATGTAAAAAGCTCAAAAACTATCGATGACAGCTAATTTGGAATTTTACTTGTTAGAAGAGCATTGCATCATTTTACGCTTTTAACTGATCCAAACCATTGGTCTTGTTACAACTTGGAAAAAATTAACAGCTTTATAGAACAGTGGCATGATCATACAGGAGAAAGAAATTCATCATATGCAAAGGATTATCGGAACTGTTTACCAGGAGAAATGTTGACTTCGTAAATTACTCCACCAAACATAATGAAAATCAATCACAGATATTGAATGTGTGAAAGGATCGCTTATAAATCTTCTTTCAAGGATACACACACATACACAAATAAAGAGAGAGAATGAACTCGAAAAAATGTAAATTGATAGGGCTCGAAGTCCGAAATTGTAATGAACAAACTGTCACATTCACAGTTTATTATTTCATATACCTTTTTCGTTAGTTTTTCCATATGTAATGAAAAAAATAAGAGTATGAACACCAATAGAATCCCTACCTATAAACTATAGACAAGAGGACTGCAGCAAACAAAAATTCAGATAGCCAAAGTCAGAATATCAACTGACCCTCTTCAGGAATCCAGCGCCAAATGCTCTGGTGACTTTTAATTGTCCTTTCACTCGATCATTTAATATGGCTTGATTATCATCAGGGTGTTCCGCTCTGATTCTAAAAACTTCCTGCAAAACATTGAAGAATATTGAGTAAAACTAACATTTTAAGAAATACAAATCAACTTTACTTTCCGTTTAAGGTTTATACTTCAATATGTTGGTATATAGTGTAACCCAATCCCTTTTTTTTTTTAATTTTCAATTTGAGCTACATGATACATATATATATATATATACACACACACACACATATATATACGGGCTGTACGTGCCGCAGTCAAATACTTGCCATATATATAAGTGAAAGCATTAAATGTGGGGAATCAAAACCATACACCTGTCATTGTTGTACGTAAAACGGCTGTAGAAATGATTTTACACATATATATATATATGCTTGTGTGTGTTCACATAAATCCTAGATATAAAAATAGGCAGAATTTGCCCACAAAAAGAAATAATTAAAAAATATGCTCGGTATAAATCTTATGCTGATGAAACATGAAATAAGGTCCAATGAGATAGAAAAACTAAATCGTAGATAAAGTTCTTCAAATTTGATAGATAATATAGAAAAACTGAAGATATTTCATCCAAATTTTTGTTATATAATGTATCTTTCCATTGAAAATTAGAGAAATCCTCATGCAAAATTGCTAACAAATCTGGTCTGATCCACAGACTGCACCTAAACATGGATTTTGTCATTTAGAAACTATATTTTACTTCACATTGTGTTAAAAGCTAATGAATGAAGAAAAAATAACCCCTTAGAAAATGTCCAATGACTGTTCATAACTGGATTTCTCATATAAATGTATCTATTTCACATCAAAATGACACACTATTGTTGATTATACTCGCTGAATAACTTATACATAATATTCTGCAAGAAAACATTTTTTGCAATCATGGTAAATGTGCTAATCGATATCTTCGAGAAGCATGACTTTCAATGGAAAAAAATTCAAATTCAAGCATTCTTAGGTATGTAAATAAGAATAAGTAGTTAAATATGCAAGCAGAGACAAGAGAAATCAACATACACAAGCAAGCACCTAAGAAGTAGAACAAGATTCAACAACCCATGTAAGCCTAACTGATTACATTTTAGAACTAGAAGATTGGACCACAATTATTAACTTCTCAAAATAGATATCACATTATTTGGATCATCAATCCACAAAAAAAAGGAGGAAATGCACCTCTTCAATACTTGTGCTGTGATCTGTGGAAAGTTGAACAGCCCTCATTTTCATTTTGCAAATCGATATCTCTCTGTTTTTGTTCATCTCGCTAACATGCCTGTTTATATTGTGCATCGGGGACTCCTCTGAAATTCTATCCAGCTCCATGCCTACTAATGACTCTCTAGATCGATTTCTATGGCTCACATCTTCTCTGATGAAACTTGGATTGGGATGACGATCATTTGGTCGTTCTTGAGCCAAAATTACACGACTATCTCCTAGGTTCATCACATAAACATCTTGATCCTTCATCAGCATCACTAAAACACATGATCCCATTAAGGCAAGCTCTGGATTTTTGTCCAGATTATTATTGACCATGTTCATGTATGCCTCTTCTGTTCTTTCAAGAGCTTGAGCCATTGCTCTTAAAACTGCATTATGGTCTACTCCAGACTTGCATTTTCTAATGGGTTCCGAGGCTTCCACTATTTTCTTGTCAACACATATTTCCTCTCTATGCCAATCATAACTCCAAGGAAAAAGTTTTTTACGTAAGGACTTCTGCTTCCTGTACATTTTTCTGATTTTCGTACCGATAAATGACTTTCTTGCATTCTGCCTTTGTCCTGAAACAGAAAAAGAAGCTACAGGCTCCTGGTTCGTTGAATTAAACCCAATGCCTTCATTTTCTCCTGAAGTAGTGGGATCTTCATCCTGATGTCTATATCTATTTTCTTTTCCATTAGATGAGCAGAATCTCATCTTCCCCACTTGTGTTATTTCCCTAGGAGCTGAAGAATCCTTTCCTTGTTCTGATACTGATAAAAAACCCTGTTCATTCCGAGATTCCATCTGAAGTAGCTCATAAAGTCGCATACTTTTTCTGCCTCGACCAGTCAATTGTCCAAGCGGAACAGATGAAGGAACAGTACGGGAGACGCTGGGACTTCCAAAATTATGCTGCTCAACATTCATCTTAACTTTAGAGTTTTCCTCCACTATCTCACCGTCAGATGATTGATCCTTGACCACTATCGGACAAGAAGTTTCTAAACAGCAAGAACTATCTTCATTTGAATTGTTACGAGCATCCGACATTTCCTCCCTACCACATTCGGAAGCAACCACATCATTTCCAGGTTTAAGTGGATCAGAGGGATTATCTTCATAATCCCAAAGCAACCCTTCTAACTCCTTGTCTATGAATCTATAAAGATGGCTCATCAGAAAATCAGGTGCATCTGGTCCACTAAAACCATCATATATCCCAATAAACAACCACCCTTGTTCTTCAGAAAGCACAACATGAGTCCTGTCTTCACCAGCCTTGCCATGAGCCCACTGCAAATTGTGTTTATGTTGATACTCCAATTCAGATGGTCCAATCTCAACACAGTTTCTAGGGACTTCAGGTTGAAACTTTGCCTCTTTGGAATTCCAGGGTAGTTGAGGCACTGGGTGAAGGAATAACCGCTGCATCCAACTGCGACCAATAGAATGCTTTGAGAAAGTCCGAGAAAATGTGCTTCTCATTGGTCCACTCACACTTCTCATGAGGCGTTGGAGGCGTGGCCTTCGACGACCTTGTGCAAGGGGTGCTGAAAAGTTGGACTTATCAGTGGCATCAAGAGGACCTGACATAACTCCTTTCTCTATTGGGCCAGACATGAAACCACCACTCCTGTCCAAAGGACCAGAGGCAAATCTCTCCAAAGGTCCAGACATGAAACCATTCAAAGGTCCAGAACCACGGGGAACAGGCTGCAAAGGGATTGCAGCAAAGGAAGAGGTTCCCTCAAATGATGCAGCAGGCTCTAGTACTTCACTAGCAAGTAGTGCATTCTGGTTACCAGTCCTCGCAGTTGAAACATTGGCACTGACCGAAGCCCCTGAGATTGTTTTGAATGTTGTTTCAGGAAAATTCTTGCCTGGCTTGTCTTCTATGCTATCATGCCTAAAGGACCCACTGAATGTCTCAGAATCAAGGGTACTAGAATCAACAGTAAATCTCTCAGAGTTTGATGGGGTAATGGCAGGAGATTCAAAAATGGATGGCCTCACATAACAGAAAGAATGGCCTAACCCTTCATCTAATGGCTCTAAAAACTCCAAATCAACCCCACTTTTCCCATTAAATGGCACCAAACAGCCAACAACACGAGAAGTGCCGTTGCCCATTATTGCAAATGCAAACACCCCTGACACATAGATGCCAATATAAGGTAATTTCTGGACCTAAGTAACATCAGCAAATAAAGATACAAATGAGAAAGCCAACTTCTCAAAAACCCGATAAACCCTTTATTATTATTAAACACCCCTTGATTACTCAGGTGACGACCATGCATCATCATCAAATTCCGAGACTGAAAGCCATGCAACCCATTTTCTGTTTCGAGCAAAACCAACACAAAGAGAGGCCAAAACACTGTCTTTGAAGCGGGTGTGAATCAACGAAAATCCGTCCAAGAGATAAAGCAGCAAACGAAGTTTTTTGTAGAGAAAAATGTTATGATCTAACCTTGTGGGCACTGCTTGAAACACGAATGAAGCGGTGGACAGAGCACACCCCCAAACAGATCTAAGAGCGTCAAAGACAGTGAACTAAACACATCACAGACAAACACAGAGACCCATTTTAGAAATCATAGTTTTTTTTCTTCTCCTTCGTGGAATCTGACAAATAAACATGGAGGGAACCATGCCCAAATTAAATCATTCAGGCAAACTCGGAAAAGAAAAAAAAAAAGTGAAATTTTTTTAAGAGGCAATTTGATAAGATGTGTGAAATGGAGTGTGTGTTTGACTAATGGGGAGAAGAGCAAAGCGAGAAGACACGACGAGATGGAAGAGAAAGTGTGGGGTTTGCAAAATTGAGAGGGAGGTATATATTTTTGGGTTTTATTAACTATATGTTAAAGGAGATAAGTTATCTCATGATATAGAAATAATTTTGTGGGTTCTACCATATAAAAAATAAAAAGAAAATAAAAAAAGTGACACAATTATAGAAAAATATATAGAAAAAAAAATTATCTCATATAACATGAAAATAGTCTTTTTCATATTTTTTTACTACGACTCTAATCATACTAAAAATTAGAGGTGGCAAAGTGGGCGGCCTGCCCCGCCCCGCTATCAACCCGCCAAAAAATGAGTCAACCCGCCCCGCCCCGTTTGGCGGGTTGATCCGTCAGCCCGAGCCTATTTTACATTGACCCGCCTCGGCCCGCCTATGCCAGCCATAAACCCGCTAAAAAATGAGTTCGCCCCGCCCCGTCCCGCTTTTCAGATGGGTTGAAAAACTCAGCCCACCTCACCCCGTTTGGCGGGTTGGCCCGCCGAGCCGAGCCCGTTTTGCTGGCTCTACTGAAAATGGATGCTCTCAAATTAAAAAATATATAATATGATAATGTAAAAAGATCGTAATCATATAAAGGTAAATTAACGATTATAATTTTATAATTATCTATTTAAATATTTTTTCTTTTTCTTTCTTTATTATCATTGATTCACATTTATATGATTATGATTCTCTACATAACCATATCATGTTTTTTTAACATGAAATGATCCGGATCCAATCATATTAGAGGAAAAGTTAAAAGAAGAGAGAAAAGAAAAAAATAATAATTTTGAATTTAATGGTAATTATTATAGTAGTGAAAGGAAAATAGAAAAATTAATAGTAAGAATATCCTGTCTATCCAAAATTTACATACAAAGAAGGGTAAGTATCATTTTACAAGTTACATTTTTTATTTTTTATGTTGATACAATTTATATTTAATGGTTCTTATTTTTTAATATTTAAGTCACTAAATACAAGTAAATTATTGATATATTGTTTGTATTTAATGTTTTAAATATCTAATTTCTTCTTTATAGAAGATAAAATTATCTCCTATAAAAAAAAGTAATGTCATTTTTAATGTTTAGAATAAAAAATAAAAGGTATTTTGAAAATTTTACATTCCAAAATAAAGGATATTTTGAAAATTTTAACATGTATTTTACTAAAACTTTATTTTTTATTCTAAATCCTAAAATGACATTGTTTTGTGATTAAAGGAGATAATAGAGAAATGTTAATCATATATACATATATATATATATATATAGTTTATTTTTCTGCGGTCAATATATTAAATAAGTTATCTACTTTAAACTCAAAACGATGTAGTTTTGTGGCAGAAATCAAGGTATTTTTATAATTATAATTTATTTCACGATTACAATAGTCTTTCTCATTATAATTTTTTAATATAAAATGATATTATTTTGGAGTGAATATAAATAACTTATCTATATTTACTATAATTTTTTTATACGTATTCTATCATTTTTCAATATTGTTATACCAAAATTCCAACTAATATTTATTATTTATCTCTTCTCTTGGTATTCTAATCTTAGAGAATGATAAATAAGATAAACATAAAAAAAATAATCTATTCCTTTAAAAAAATGATAGAGGTTAGATGTTTGGCTTTAATGATGAGGAAATAAGAATCAAAGGTGAGTTCATCAAGGAGGGTCTCCTTCTCGGGGTTTTCAAATGGTTTCGGAGTTTAAAACAATTTTTAAATAAAATAATAGCGTTGAAAATTAGATTGTAGAGAGTGTTGTATATTGGGTTTGGTCGTTTTCTTCTTTGAATATTATTTCCCTCCGAATGATTAGTTGTTTTTGGAGCTGTTGAAGTCAATAAATAAGCTATGCCCCATCGTCACTCTCATCAATGAAATTGGATGACTGGGAATCCAGTGGGCCACACCCCCATAAATTTTTTAACCTCGTTTTTGTTTTGTTATATTCTTTTAAAATATTTTTAATACTTTTTTAATTACTTAATATAAATATCAAATAAAAAATTTATTTAATGTTTTTGAAAATATAATAAATATTTAACATTTTTCACTGAATAATTAGTATGACTTATTTTTTAAATTAATTTTAAAGCATAATAGTACTTTGTAAATCAACTTTAAATCATGTCACGTTCGTATATTTATCTTAATGAATTTGTTAACTAATTTTTTCGTGTACGAGTTCAGAATTTTTAAATAAAAAAATTATTCATTACTTACTTTTTAATATAATTATAAACGTTTCATTAATATTTTTTATTGTATTAATCATTGCAAGGGATTTAATATTTATTTAATAATTCAACAATATTAAAGTAATTTTTCACTTACATTTTATCAAAATTAAATTCTATATTTATATTGTCTACGTTACTTTAGTTAATTTATTTAAATTTGATTTGCGGTGTGATACATATAATTTTGAGTAGCATTATTCAATTAAATTTGATAGAATACGATAATAGTTCCATCATCAACCAATGAATTGGACGACAATTGTATTCATGCTTTTATTTATTTTTTTCATTTCTTTGTCACGTGGCTTCATAAAATTGAGAAGGAAAAAAAAATTGAGCATACATCTGTCAGATAAGTTGCTTTCAGCTCTGCATTGCACTTGGACTACCATTTCAATAAATTAATAATATTCAACTTATTTTTTTGTTTTTATCATTAGTTTTTCTTTTCTTTTGTTTGAATATTTCCTCAAATACTTAATCTCCTTTGAAATTCTGTGTGCCATTAATGCAATGGCCACCCATGTCGGGACTGCATTTTGTCATATTCCAAGTTGAAAACAAAATCTTTACAAGTTACAAGCATGTAAAGTTTTTTCTTTGCATTTCTAGTGATAAAATTGTCTATAAAGTTCTGTTAAATTAAAATATATCCGTTGGGAGTTTGCAGTTTGAAGCATCATCGATATTATTTACCGAAGAACAAAATTTTAAAACACCCTCTCTTAGTTCGAAATTTATTTAACCTCTTATATTTTTTATTATCATCTATTTTTCTTATAATTTTTTTCATCCAAGTTTATTTTCAACGTCATTAAACATTAGGTTAATTTATCCATTATGGCCCAATAAACAAGTAACAGAAAAAAATACGGACGAGTAATTGATTACAAAAGAGAAATACAAAGAGTAAATGATAAAATATTAAACCATATGAGGTTTTGAACTTTTCCCTTACAACAATTAAGAAAAAAAAAAGAAAAAAACTTAAAACGATATGAAACCAAACAAGCTAATAAGTATATACGGAAAATGATATTGTAACAACCAAACTAACTAATGTTACTATCAATGTTATTACCAATCAATTTCACCGTTTGATCGATTAGGTTGATCCAATGGTTATATTTATTTTCATCTTTGTATGGTTATGATTCTCCATATTTAATACTTTATATTTATTTTCATCTTTGTATGATTATAATTTCTCATATTTAATGCTTTCACATTAAATACGGGGAATCATAATCATACAAAAATAGAAATAAATATAATCATTGGATCAACATAATTGATCTAACGGTAAAATTGGTTGATAATAACATTGGTAGTAACACTAATTGATTGTTATAATATCCTATCCTTGTTAACAATCCAAATAAATAGTGTCGTTCAACATCCAATATAATTTAGGGGAATTGTTTTCTCATTTAACATGAGATAAACTCATTTTCCTACACTCACATATTGAGTGGTAAGATCCATTTATATATTTTCTCTCTCATCTCTTCTATATATGTGAGTGTAAGAAAATAAGTTTATCTCATGTTGAATGAGATAAACAATTCCCTATAATTTATTGTGCGCGAAAAAAAGTTTGAATATCATTCGCTGTGAAAAAATAAATTAAATTTAAGATGAATATCGTTATGTTTTTTTTTGCCACTCTTGCAATTTACTTAAATTATGATTAAAAAATAAAAAATTCTTAATTTTTTGTGAAATATAAATAAGTTTGTTATTGGTGTTTTATTTATATTATTTTAATGTTCTATTTTTTCAAATAATGATTTTAAATTTATTAAAAAAATAAATAGATAGAACTAAAATTAAAAAAATAATCTATTAGGACAATAATTTTTTATTTTTTTGTTGAGTAATCATCTACATGTATAACAATGAAGCATTCAAATATAAAGATTGACAAACATAAAATACATATATAAATGACAAACATAAAAGACGCATGTGGATGATATTTGAAAATAACACATTTTGTTTGCAATGGTCATATATCTCACTAGTTTGCTAGGTTTTGAAAAAGTTTAAAAAACTCCCACGATTTAATATTTTATTATTTTCCCTTTTGTACTTAAAAAAAAATCACAAATCTTCGATGTGTTTTTTTACTGTGCAGGAACAAAATGGACAGATTATCTTAATATTTAACGGGTATTAAGGATGAATTTGAATGAAAAAAATAAAATAAAAGTAAGTAATTAAAAAATAGGTTCACTTTTTCTGCAGTTACTGCAGATAAGTTATCTGCAGTGAGCCAATACGACGTCGTTTTGGGACGAAAATCGTTGTGTTTTTGTAATTTTAATTTATTTTAGAGTTATAATAGTCTTTATATTTATAATTTTTTAAGATTTCAATACCAAAACGACGTCATTTTGAAAATAAATGCAGATAACTTCTCTGCATTAACTACGGAAATATTTTTCTCTTAAAAAATACACGGGGTTAATTAATTTTGGAGCAAACCACATGGTTTTTAAACTTTTTTCAAAATAAAAAGAGAAATAAAAACTGCATTTTTTATACAATCTAAACAAAATGTATTTCTTTAATTAACATATCTAAACACAAAATTAATTTTATCATAATCTATTTATTAAATAAGAATAATCATAGTTAATTATTAAATGATATTTTATAATTAATCCACATACATATTAAGTAAGTATTTGTTAATAATTATTCTTTTAATCAATTTTATATATTAAATT